CCTTAGAGAGAGGAGAGAGCCGTTTGAAGATAAGATAGATAGGACTAGCAATAGGTCAAAGATGGAAGGGGAATGTCCAGGATGACTCCCAGGTTCTAAACCTGGGAGACTGGGAGGATGTAGTACCCTGGACAGTCATAGGGAAAGGAAATGGTTTTGGAGGGGGAAGATAATGGCAAACATCCAGCTCCGGGATCCTAACTTGGGAGCTGTCACTTAAAAAAAAACACCTTTTTTTGGCTAACTATATTTCAGTATATTTGGTTCTCTTTGACATCTTACATATTTTATTTTATGTATTCAAAAATATTATTTTGGGAAGGAGTCCAGGGGCTTCTTCCACCAGATGGCCAAAAGGGGTCCAGGAAATAAAAGGTGTAGGACACTTGAGCTAGCCCTAGCAGAGGGTTTGTGCATTATGGGCATCAATAAATCCAAATTTATTGATAGAAAGATTGCTGGGGGTTGAGGCAGCCAGGTGGTGAAATTGATAGAGTCCTGGGATCAGGAAGACCAGAGTTCAAATCTAGCCTGAGATATTTAACTAGCTATATGACCCTGGGCTAGTCACTTAACTGCCTCGGTTTCCTCAACTGTAAAAAAAATCAGGGTTAATAATAGTACCTCCCTTCCAATGTGGTTGCAAGGATCAAATGAGATAATATTTGTAAAGCACTTAGCACAGTGTCTGGAACATAACAAGCATTTCACAAATGTTTGGTTCCTTCCTTCCTTGAGCAAAAAGCCACTTCAGACCGAGCCTTGGATCCTGGGATTTAGAATTGAAAGGGCCCTAAGAACATAGCATGTTAGACTTGGGATATTGAACTGGGCAGGACCTCAGGGATCACCAAGGTCATTTCCCCTCTTTTTACAAGGAGAAGAAGCTGAAAAGCACCAAGTAACTGTTTGTTGAATTAAATTATGTTTCTGACCTCTGACCCACTGTGACTCAGTAGAGGGAGTCAGAGAGACCTGGGTTTAAATGCTAAGATCACAGATTTAGGGCTGAATGAGAAACTCCCTTGCTTTACAGACGAGGAAACCAAGGCCCAGATAGGTAAACTAGCTTGCTTAATGTCACACAAGGGCAGTGAGTGGAAAAGGAGTGGTTTGAACCTCAGTCCCCTGGGGATGCTAAGATACAGGCCTCCGCCCCATCCCTCCAATCCCTTGGGACGCTTTCACCACCTGCTATACGCTACAGGGTTTTAGGATTACAAAGCACTTCCTTATCTATTGACTGTTTGCTCTTCAGCATTACCTGGAGAGAGGAAGAGTAGGGAGAATCGTTCCCCAACGCAGCCGAGGCTCTGATTGGGGTAGTGGGTCACCCAAGGTTACCCAAGGAGCTGGTTGCAGGGCAAAAAGTCCCAGAGCTCTTCTCATTACCCATCATTACTTTCCCAGGATATTCATTTGGGGGGAGGGGACCGCTTGTGTATCAGAGAGACACCAGATCTGTCAGTGTTTGCTGAGTGACATACTGATAGATCAATTGACTTTCCCCCTCGCTGAAGACTGGGGCTCTTGCATTTGATAAGACAAAAGTGGCCACTGGGTGGCACTGATGAGCTGATCTTGAGGCAGGCAAGTAGGCGAGGTTGGCTAGGCTTGGAGGTGGGAATGTGAGGAAGGGGAGAAAGGTTAAGACACGGAACAGGCTAAAAAAAAAAATAATAGTGGGGGGGGATGGCCTGGCCCCCACACCCACATAGAAGGCGCAGAATGAAGCCGTTCTTTCACAGGCATTATAAAACATTCACTATGGGTCATCAATCCATCCCAGTTCAGCATTAAGCACTTACCGTGTGCCTGCCACATAGTCAGTAGGGATAGGCATAGGAAACTGACCTGTGATGTCATTGGCATAGTAAACTCCCAAATGAGAAAACTCCCTCTACCAATGTAGGTGGGCATTGTCTCTGCAAGGGCAGCTAGTGGACAGAGCACTGCACTTGGAACCGGGAAGACTGTCTTCCCAACTTCAAATCCAGTCTCAGATGCTAGCTGTGTGACCCTAGGCAAGTCACTTCACCCTGTTTGCCTCAGTTTCCTCATCTGTAAAATGAGCTGGAGAAGGAAACGGCAAACCATTTCAGTATCTCTGCCAAGAAAACTCCAAATGGAATCATGAAGATTCTGACATGACTAAAATGACTTAATAACAAAAAAAAATTGTCTCTGCCTAGAGCTGTCTAGAGCACTGAGAAGTTAAGGGACTTGTCAAAGGTCATACAGCCGAGCATGTGTCAAGGACTGGACTTGAACCCAGATCCTCCTGGCTTTGAGGTCGGTTCTCTCAGGTACTTCATAAATACTTGTAACTGGTAGTCAGGGAGACAGAGACAAAAACAAACACAATCCTTGCCCTTAAAGAGCTTTTGTTCTCCTGGAAGGATACGACATTTCAACCAAACACAAACACACAGGATAACCTGAGAGGAAGCACTGAGAAGGAAAGGTTTCCATGGTGAGCGGGTGAGATGGGCCTTGAAGGAAGCTCAAGAGTCTGGAAGCCAGAGGAGAGGAGGGAGTGCATTCCAGGCACAGGGGACACAGCCTAGGCAAAGACCCAGAAACAGGAGATGGAGTGCCCAGTTCTTAACCTTGGCTTGGTGAACCCCCTTCAGATATTAGAAGTCACTGACCTGCCTCAGTCTTCTCTTTTGCAGGCTAGACACCCCCAATTTCTTCAGTGGATCCTATGGCCTACTCTCTAGCGTAGTTGCCCTCCTTGGGACATTTCCTTGTTCATATTCCCCCCCTGGGATATGGCCCTAGATCTAGTTAAGACTCAATACTTTAGCTGTCATTTAACCAGGAGAACTAGACAATACCACCCTTCTCCTTCAAAATACAGTTTATGATGGCATTAGATTTTTTTTTTTGCTTTTTTTGGTGAAGCAATTGGGGTTAAGTGACTTGCCCAGGGTCACACAGTTACTGAATGTCAAGTGTCTGAGGCCAGATTTGAACTCAGGTCCTCCTGAATCCGGGGCTGCTGTTCTACCCACTACACCACCTACCTGTCCCTTAGCATTAGATTTTTTGAGGGGGGGGGACGAGGAAGGGCTACCACGTTACTGGTGTCTTCTGTTGAGCATGCAGTTCCCAAGAACCCCAGCTCTGCTTCACAATCATTCTTTTCAAGCCACTCTGACCTCGTGCAATTGATTTTTTGAGCCTAAGTGTAGGACTTTACATTCACCCCATTTACATTTTTATTAGATTCAGTTAACGTCTGTGAAATGTTGACTAGTCCTAGCGAGGCATCAGAGCAGGGATTATCTTCACTTTGCACATAAGGAAACTGAGGCTCATTGAGGTCGTGACTTGTCCCAGGATACCAAGCTAGTTGGTAGCATGGAGGGGTTTGAACTTCATCTTCTGTCTCCCAGTCCAGGGTTTTTTCTCCTAACCCATGCTGAGGAAGAATCAGAGGGCCTCTCTGGCTGATGGGGCTGTGCATTGCACATAGCAGGTGTTTCATACATGTTTGTTGAACTACACTGGTAGGTTTGTGCTTGGCCTTGGATAATGTGGGGTTGGCTGGGTGTCAGAACAGACCAAAGATGCACAGGGACAGACAGAACACACAAAGTCAGGCTGTCAAAGATTTTGTTTTTATCTGATGTCTACCTTACACACAAGAGGTGGAAAAGCAGCCAGGACAGGTGATAAGGCTGGTGGGTGTTAAGGGAATGGGAGGGGAATCTCCCCTGGGGTCCCTCTGCTGAGCCAGGTAGAATTGCAAGCCCCACCTTACCCCACCACACCAGGAAGAACTACAGGGGAGGCCAAAGCAGGTGGACCAAAGGGGGGCCTCCCCAAGCCCATAACCGGAGAGCCCAGCAGGGGTCCAGGCCACACCATCCTCCCCAAACACCTACTCTGGCTCTCCAGTACCTTTAGGATCAAAGCTTCTCCCCTCTTCCCCACTAGTATCCCAGGAGTGTGATTGGTCCTGGCCAGGGAGCCTTGGGCCTGGGGAGGGGGCAGGCAGGCAAAGTCCTCCACTGAGACCAGGCCAGGCCCCCCTCACTTCATCCCAGACTGGTGATCTCTGAAGCCCTGAGCAATCTCAGCAGTGGCTGGCCCAGACTTGAGAAGTTCCAACAGAAGAAACATAGGGGTGAGAAAAAGAGGAGAAAGAGACAGGACTGGGAGCACAGGTGTCATTCTTAGGACTATAGAACAAAGACCTTAGAACACAACACAATGCTAAGAGGAACCTTGGAACACAGGACATAATGCTGGGAAGGACTTTAGAACACAGAACAAAATGATAGGAGGGGCCTTAGAACACAGAATACAATGCTGGGAGGGATCTTAGAACATAGATTACAATGTTGAAGAGGAGAGAGACCTTAGGACATAGAACACAGAATTGTAGAACTAGGAGGGCCCTTAAAACAGAGGATGTCAGAGCTAGGAGGGCTCTTAGAACCCAGAATATCAGGGCTGAGAGGGCCCTTAGAACCCAGAATGTCAGAGCAGGGAGGGCCCTTAGAACCCAGAATGTCAGGGCTGAGAGGGCCCTTAGAACCCAGAATGTCAGAGCTGGGAGGGCCCTTAGAAGCCAGAATGTCAGAGCAGGGAGGGCCCTTAGAACAGAGAATGTCAGGGCTGGGAGGGACCTTAGGCCATGTCAGAGGCAAGAGCAAATTTGAAAATCTAGTTCAACTTGCCCTCCCCAATTTTACGGTTGGGGAAACTGAGGCCGCCAGAGAGGAAATGGCTTGCCCAAGGTACATAGTAGGGACAGAGCTAGGCTAACTTGCCCACTACCCCAAAAGGCACACCTCTCTCCTCCCCTCTAGGGAATTCCACCCACTGGAGCAAACAACCCTCCCCCTCAGTCCTGGGGAAAGGCCAGTCTGAGCAATCAGCACCCCACAGCTTGGATCCTCCCAGGATAAGCAGGCCTGGAGCTTGTATGTGTGTGTGTGATCAAGGCTTTACTTTAAAAAAAAAAAAAAGTGAGCTACAAAAAAATCTTAAAAACACGTGAGCCAGTGTCAAAATAAATTAAATGGCAGTGTCCAAGGTGCTGCTACACCCACGCTGGCCCTTGGGGAGCAGGAGGGAAGGTGGGGGAGGAGTGGAGTTACTTCTGCGGCCCCAGTGTCTTCTCTCCCCTCCCCTCTTCCTCTACTTTGGCTGGGGGAAGCAGAAGGCTGGACCTGGAGCCTCCACCTGGAAATCATGTGGAAAGTGGGAAGTGCTGGTCTGGGCCCCAGGGTGGGAAATTCCACGTCTGAACCTCACCACCTCCTGACCTGACCACTCAGCATCTCAGAACCAGATGGGATTCACGGGGGTCTCTAGTCCCACTGTTACCCCAATACAAACACTCTCTCCAACATCTCTGGCAGTCAGACGGCCTTTGCTCCAAGGCCTCCAAGTGATGGAGAGCTCACTACTTCCCACAGCAGCCCATTCCACTACTGACCAGCCTTGGTGCTTAGGAAGTTCTCAGAATCGAGCCAAACTTCAGCTCCCACATACTTCCTCCCTCCCTTTCTCTCCCCAATGTCCCTGGTTCCCATTGCTTCCTCAGTGGGCCATTTTTGAGAGCTTCCAAACTGTGGGGGGCTGGGGGAGAGGTCAGGAACAGCTCGGCTTCTTAAGACAGAGCTTTTTCTCCTGCGCCTGGAAGGACGGTATAAGGTCCTGACCACGGGGATATAGTGCCACGGTCATACTGTGGAAGGCACTAGCTACTTTTGGCTAGCCAGAGACGTTGGCAGAGGGGCTCGAGCTGGCAGGGAGGCAGGGCCAAACTTTCTATGACCAACTCGATCATAGGGTCTAGAAGTGGAAAGGGCTTATGAGATCACCGGATTAAACCCACACTTTTACAAGCTGAAGAAAAGGAGCCTAGAGACCTCAATGAACCCCCGGGCCCTGCTGAAGAAGCAGGCCACTCAAATATCAGAGCCTCACAAGACATCTGGTTTTTCCTCTTTCCCCCAAGCAGAAATCCCTTCGAGGGCCCCTGTCTACTTGGATACCTCCACTGGACAGGGAAGCTCACTTCTTTTTAAGTCAGCTCATTCCAAGGCTGGACAGCTGTGTTAGAAAGTTCTTTTCCATTTTCTTTTCTCAATATTTCTCCCCGCTCTCTAGGCTTTCTCCTCCCACCCAGCTGGAGTTCCCACAAGGGAGTCCAGCCAACTGTTTTCCCTCTTCCTTCCATTCCTCCCCTAGCTCTGGGGAGCTGTAGTGATGCCAGAGGACCGGTCAGGTCTAGACTAAGCACCCCAGCTCTACTCTGGGCCCCAGTTCTGGTTCAGTGGGACGTTTCCTCGTGTTTTTAGTTTAGATCAGGGGCTTGGGGGGTCACAGAAGGGGGAGAGGGGAGAGTTGGGAGGGGATTTTTTTTTATATAATCCCTCCCAGCCCACCCCAAGTCCTAAGTCTGAGAAGTGGTTCCAGGCCTGGAGGGGAGAAGGCAGGCACGCCCGTTACGTTCCCAGGGGGTAGAATGTAAGGTTGCCTTCCTGATCCACAGCCCCGCCCCCCTCGGGCAAGCTCTTGACCCTGGCCTGGGACAGCGTCCTCTCGTTATCTGGAGGCACGGGCTGGGGCTGCCTCCTGTCTCCCTCAGGACTGGCCTCCTCTTCTGGAGACAGAGGCTCCGCCTCTGTCGATTCTGAGTCATCTGTGGCCAGGGTCCTTGAGTCGCTGCTGCTGTTCTCTCCCTCTCCTTCCTCGGCCTGGCTCCTGGGGTCTTCGGCCTCCTCCTCCAGCTCTCCTTCCTCCTCCTCCAGCGTCAGCTCGAACTGGAACTTGTCAGCTCCCTTCGCCAGGGTGGCTTCACAGCCACCACCGCCACTGCTGTCCGGGCTCCGGGGTATCATGCTCTGGTACCATTCTCTATTGTCCTCCAGGGTGTCGAGAATCTCCTGGGCATCTGGGTGTACCAGGTCAGCCCAGGTCTCCCACAGTGGGTGTGCGATGTAGTCAATGAAACCCACCTGTGGAGAGGAGTTTGGCCCCCCCCCTCATTGGCAGGCTGTGGGCACGCTGCCCCTGGGCCCCCAACCATAACCCTCCCTGCAAAGCCAGTGACAATCCCAGGGTCAGGGACATAGACCCAACTTGGGCCCTCAAGAGACTGTCTCATCTGCATCCTTGTACCCCCAGATGCAGGACAGCATCTGTACCCATCCCTTGCTCTTCAGAATCTCCAGGACCTGGGGTAGCTAGGTGGTGCAGTGGATAGAGCCCCGGTCCCAGGGTCAAGAGGACCTGAGTGCAAATCCGGTCTCAGACCAGCACTTGACACGTACTAGCTGTGTGACCCTGGACAAGTCACTTAACCCCAATTGCCTAAAAAAAACCAAAACAAAACAAAACAGAATCCCCAGGAGTCTGACCTGGGACTTCTCCACAGAGGCTGTGTGTTTGTCACACATGGGGCTGATCTCGATGCCCTTCTCCCGTTCCCGGTCTCCTTGTTGGAAGAACTCCACCATGATTCTGTCTGTCCACTGGCGGTACAGCTCCAGGGGCTTGGTGGGGTTGCTGAGGTCGGCACAGTGCACCATGTTCTGCAGGACCTGAGATGGCCGGTCGGGGCCAAGAGAGGGCAGGGGCCCGGCCAAAGTCAAACAGCCTCCTCAGACTGGCTGGACTCCACCCCCCCACCACTTCCCACCCTCAGCCACATAAGAAATGAGGAGGATGAAAACAATAACACTAAGCAAACAACAATGAGAGGTAGTGCGTCCCAGGGACCCGGGTTCAAGTCCCTGTCTCTGGCCTGCCAAAGCCCTGGGTGTGAGTAAGGTCAAGTTACAGCCTTTCTGGGTCCCATGCAGTTTTTCTCTGACTTTTAGTTGCAAAGTAGCCAAAATTGGCAGAGAGAATCTCTACTCCAGGAGTTCTCAGCACCCACTCCTGACTCCCAGGCCTTTCTCCACCAGGCTCAGCAGCCTCCTCCCCCTGGAAGCCCATTCTGCGCCTGGCCTTCTCACACTGGAAAGACTCTAGTCCTTGCTGCACTTTTTCCAATTGGTCGGTTCCTAGGATCCTCATTTTAAGGAAAGCGCCCCAGCCAGGAATGGTGCCATTCCAGACTCTCCCACTCCCTGACCTTCCTGCTCCTTTAAGAGGTGTGTCTTTCCCAATTAGAATGTGGGGTCTTTGAAGGCAGGGGCTGTCCATCTTTCAGCTTGTATTTGTGTTCCCAGCACAATGCCCAGCGCATAGTAGGTGCTGAAGAAATGCTTGCTAACTGGTCAACAGTGGAATCACTGGCCCAGGATAATGATGCTAACGATGCTGCTGCCACTAAGTGGAGGGACAGTGTCGACGAGAACTCCGGCTCTGACGGTGACCCTGGATTAGAAGCCTCAGGCTCCCCACTGAGGGGATGGGGTGGATGGCCTCCAAGATCTTTCCCAATTCCGTCCTGGGATACAACTTTGACTTACAGTTACTGTTATTGTTAAAACAGCAGCTGTTGCTGCAAAGGTGGCCCGTGGGAGGGGAATACGTGTTTATATTGTGCCTACTCAGCACAGCCTTTTACTTCACTTGATCCTCACTATGACCCTGGGAGGCGGGTGTTATTATTATCGCCATTTTACATTTGAGGAAACTGAGGCAAACAGAGGTTAAATGACTTGCCTAGGGTTCACACTATTAAGTGTCTAAGGCCCAGGGCTCTCTTCACTATACCACCGGCTGCCTTGGTCAATCATACCCACCTACCCTGTGCCAATATTAAGGAGAAAAGCTCCAGAGGTAGCTCAGTGATGTGAGTGGGGTTATCAGGAGACGCCTGGGTTCTGACTTTGACCTTCTGTGTGACCTTGGGGTAGTCACTTAACTTTCCTGGGCTGAAGTCTGTCAAAATGGGAATCCATACACCTGTCCTGCACCTCCCCCACCTCCTGCCTCACCCCACCCTTTTCCCAGGGGCTGGCCTGAGGCAGCAGCAGCAAAGTAATGGATGGGAAAGTACTTGGAAGAGAAAAAAGTGCCGAGTACAGGCCCACTAGCCTGACTGCACCCATCTGGTGCTAACCCCTGCCCTGGCTCACTAAGCACAGCAGCAGAATCCCAGGGGCAGAAGTGACCTTCGAGGTGGTCTGCTCCAACCCCTGGGTGGACAGGAATCCTCTCTCCACATCTCCAGCACGTGGTTGTGTCTCTCACCTTTGACTCCTACGTCCATCCGACACCACCCAGCTGCCAAAATGATTTGCCTTAAATGCTGATCTATGTCCCTCCCCTACTCTATCAACTTCACTGGCTCCCGAGTACCTCGAGGATTAGGTAGAAACTTATGTGTGTAGTTTTCAAAGCTCTACATAACCCGACCCTGCGCCATCTTTCCATCCCACACTCTGATCCAGGCAAACTGGCTTTTTATCTGACCCTCACATAAGACACTCCATCTCCCTTCTTGTAAGGCAATTCTTTTACCATTCCTTAATCGACTTACCCTCCGGCCCTCCATGGCAGCTAGGTGGCATGGTGGATAGAGCACCAGGCCTGAGTCAGGAAGACCTGAGTTCAAATGTGGCCTCAGACACTTACTAGCTGTGTGACCCTGAGCAAGTCCCTTAACCCTGTTTGCCTCAGTTTCCTCAACTTGAAATGAGCTGGAGAAGGAAATGGCAAAATGCTCCAGGTCTTTCCCAAGAAAACCCCAAAAGAGGTCACAAAGGGTCAGACAGACTGAAATGACTGAACAGCAAGAACCCACTCTCCACAGGGGCTCTTCCAAACCTTTCCATCCTTTCTCAAACCTCCCGTGGCTACCCTCGCCCCAGCCTTAATGGCTGAGAACTCTGCCTTGTGTTTCCCTAAAAAATTGAGGTCGTTCGACGTGTGCTCCCTCTTTTCCCCTCTGCATCATCGCAGTCCCCCTAATCGCCTCCTTCAGTCCTCTCTCCCATAAAGAGGTGGCCCTTCTCCTTCCCAAGGCTGACCATTGTCCAGGCACAAATGATTCAACTCCAGCCCATCTTCTCCAGCAGGTCACTCCTTCTGCCGTCCTCACTCTCTCCCTGTCCTACTGGCTGTAGGCACTTCCATGTCTCCCCCATCCTCCAAAACCCCTTACTTGGACCTTCTATCCCTGATAACCGTCATCTCCCATCTCTCTTCCCTTTGTGGCGTAATCGAAAGTAGATGCCTCCGCTGCCCTTTCCTCTCACGCTCTTAACCCTCTGTGTTGTGGCTTCTGACCTCATCATCTCCAAAGTTACCAACACTTAATTGCCTAATCCAATGGCCTTTTTTCAGTCTTCATCCTTCCTGACCTCTGTCAAGTCTCCGACGCTGCTGATCACCCCCTTCTCCTTGGTATTCCTTCTCCTGGTTCTGGGGACCGGGCTCTCCCCCCACCTCTCTGACCGCTCCTTCTCAGTCTCCTTTGCTGGATCTTCCTCTGGGTCACATCTGATAAATGTGTCTGTCTCCCCAGGGCTCTGTTGGGGTCCTCTTTTCTTCTGCCTCTATGCTCTTTCACTTGCTGATCTCATCTGCTCCCATGATTTCAATGACCCTCCCTATGCAGACGACTCTCCTATCTACTTGTCCAGCCATCTACTTGTCCAGCCTTAATATCTCTCCTGACCTCCAATCTTGCATCTCAAATTGCCTATTGGACATTTGGAGCTGGACGACCCCAACGCATCTTCAATCAATAAGCCCCAAACTTAACTCATCATCCTTCCCCCCAAGCCCTCCCCCTGCCTCTCCTAACCTCCTCTTCCTGTCCAGGCACAGCCTTCCTCCCAGGTACTTGGGCTCGAAACCTACAGGCTATCTTAGATTCTTGACTCTCTCACTCCCTACATCAAATCAGGTGCCACGTCCTGTTGACTCTATCTTCATGACATCTCTCAAATACATCCCCTTTTCTCCTCTGACCTGGGGCTGGCCCTCATTACTTCATGCCTGGACTATTGCCATCAACTGCTGGTGGGGCTGCCTGCCACCAGTCTATCCCCATAGCAGGCCACCCCCCACTCGAATGTCAAAGTGATTTTCGTAAAGTGCAGGTCTAAAGTCAGACCTCCTCCTCTCCCTCACTCAGTAAGCTGCCATGGCTCCCTATCACCTCTGGGCTTAAATAGAAAATCCTCTGGCTTTCAAAGCCCTTCATAACCAGGTATCTCCCTACCTGTCCAGTCTTCTTAGGCTATGGACTCTGTGATCCAGTGGCCCTGACCTCCTTACTGTTCTTTATTCAAGATATCTGCGTATTTTCTCCTGCTGTCCCCCATGCCTAGAACTGTCTCTCTCCTCATCTCCCCCTCCCAGCTTCCTTCAGGTCTCAGCTAAAGTTCTCCTTGCACAAAAAGCCTTTTCCAACCTTCCCCCTTTTTGAGGCAATTGGGGTTAAGTGACTTGCTCAGGGTCACACAGCTAGTAAGTGTTCGAGGCTGGATTTGAACTCAGGTTCTCCTGACCCCAGACCTGGTACTCTATCCACTGTACCACCTAGCTGCCATATAAATATATAAGTATATAAGTTAATAAATATACATTATTTATGCAGGGCAACTAGGTGACACAGTAAATAGAGTGCCAGGCCTGAAGTCAGGAAGCCTCATGTTCCTGAGTTCAAATCCGGCCTCAGACACTTATTAGCTGTGTGACCCTGGGCAAGTCACTTAACCCTATTTGCCTCAGTTTCTTCATCTGTAAAATGAGCTGGAGAAGGAAATGGCAAACCACTTCAATATCTTCACCAAGAAAATCCCAAATAGGATCACAGAGTCAGACACAACTAAAAACAACTGAACAACAAAAATACATTTACGCTGCATAGATTTCTCTCTCTCTCCAAACACACGTTTGTTGCCTCTCCCACTAGAATGGAAGGAGACTTTCATTCTGTGTCTTTGTATCCCTGGGGCCTGGTACTGTGTGTGGCACATAATAAATGCTTGTGGACTGATTCAGTCTGAAGACCCTGGCTGCCTGGAGCTCACCCCCTCACAAGGAGGTACACTCCCTCGTGGTACAGCTTTCCTCACCTCTCTCCGAAAGCTGCCTCCTTGTAAACCCCCTGTTACTCCTCTCCCTGTCCTCTGAGGCCTCTCCCACATGGCTGGCCAACCTGAAGGTGGGGCGGGGGTGGGGAAGGGATGAGGCTGCTGGGACAGCTGCCCACCTGGATCCGGTCAGAGTAGTTATCCAGCAACAGAACACCTAAGCTGGTCACCTTCTTTGTCTCCACCATGGTCTTCAGGTCAGCCAGCAAGTTCATATGTTTAGACATGTCCGTGGCCAGCACCTGCCAAGAAAGGGCAGAACAGGGAGAGACAGTGCCTTAGAGCGGACCAGGCCCCAGGTTCCTGGGAAAGGGTCAGCCCCATGTAGCTGCACGACTCTTCTTTCCTAGAGCTGGTTCTAACAAGGGGACCTGGAAACTTTCCAGTGCTATTAACCTCAAAAAGACAGAGCCACAGAGCTGGGAGGACCCCCAGAAGAAAGACATCTAGGCATCAAAGGTCCCTAGGACAGAAAACAGTGTCAGCGCTGAGAGGGCCCTTAGAACATAGAACACATAGAATGCTGGAGGTAGAGAGGCCCTTAGAACATAGAATGTCAGGGTTTTAAGGGCCCTTAGAACATAGAATGTCAGAGCTAGGAAGGCCCT